TTTCTTTCTTTCTTTCTTTCTTTCTTTCTTTCTTTCTTTCTTTCTTTCTTTCTTTCTCTCTCTCTCTCTTCATTCTTTTCTTTCTTCTTTTTATCTTTCTTTCTTTCTTTCTGCTCCTGTGATGGAGTGCTAACACCTCGCTCTTGTCTAAATCTTTTATGTGTCAAACCAAGAGACGTGTTCCACAAGTTAGCATGATGAACAACATACAACACAGTTGCTATCCATTGGAGAGGGGTCTGATCAGCAGGTGTTGTGGAGCTCCCATTGAGCCCAGTAGCCAGAATGCTGACTGCACATAGGTCTGGAGGTGTAAGGAAGGCACTGGGGTTAGAAGCTGGACCTTCAGGAAGCAGGTGTAATGCAGAGGCAGTAAAGGGAGCCATGGAGAAGAAGCTGGTGGGCCAAATACCCGCAGCAGTGGAAGGAGGAAATCACAGAAGAATTTAGTAATTAGTAAATGTTTTCTTGTATCTCTGACTTGAAAACCACTGAAATGAGCCACTCAGGAGGTGCAGGCACAAGGCCAAGACACACACAACAAAGTGGGGTCATGATCAAGTGAGGCGAGCTGGCAGGACACACAAACCTTTTCTGGATCAGGAGCTGAGTTGAGGGGCTTCCCAGAGGAATAGAGAAGGGCACAATTTGTGCAGAAGTGATGCTCATAGGAGGACATCTGGGGTTCAGTATTGAATAGGCAACACTAAAAAATGAATTGGTAAGGCAAGTGGTGAAGAGCCTACCTTCTACATTCAAAGTCACAACTTTCTTCTTGGGAACTGAGCAGCAGGTTTTGAAAGCTAAATCCATCAGGGAAGAATTGCCAGTATATTCTCTGGCCACTAACCCTGCAGAACTGCCTGAAAGGACTTCTTATAGGTTCCTTTCTGGCCATAATGTGCCATACACACAGGCAGGGAACAAAGCAGTTAAATCTCAGGCAAGATGTGGAGAAGCCTGAGCTGTCATCTCCACTAGTCTATGCTTTCCTAGGAGAGCGAGGCTTTCGCTGAATCTTAATTGTGCACTGTGTGGGCCAGAATTTCATAATAGATGTCATACATTTTATGAACTACACTAGGATATTTTGGGAATGCATTTCTTAATTAGCTGGGCAATGATTGGAGCCGAGCCATTTACCTCCTGTTTGAGATTTCTCACCTTTTCTCTCTGCCTCTGCATTACACAACATGCCTGGAAGGGAGTGGGTAGATGTCTTTACAGGCTTCTTGCCAGAATGATGACCTAAGTTAAGGCTGTTGAGGTTTCCCTGAGTGAACTGAGCCTTTCCTGCCTCTCGCCTCGAGGCTCATCTTTGCAGCTAGGAAGGTGAGAGATGAGGAGCTCGGTGTGTGAAGCACAGTTAATAGAGGCTGAAATGAGACATGGTGAAGAACAAAGTGGTGTGAGGTGCTGGATGGAGTGGGGAGGGCTGGTCTAGAACAAGGCTGGAGTGTCCAGTTGAAGGGATGGGTAGTGGGGGTTTCGAGGCATTGCAGACAGGGTAACAGTCAAAGAGTATAAAAAAATACACATATGCTCTCAGGATACCCTCAGTAAATGGGTGGTTGGGTGTCGACAAAGCCAATAGTGGAAGGGCTATTTAGACTAGGGAGGCATAGAGCCCTAAGAATATGGGCTGAGAAGAAAACTCAGTCTTCAGTCTGGGCAAGAGCAGCCATGGAGGGTTGCTGAATGAAGGTAAGGCACATGATAGACTTTTCTTAGCCTCCAGCTCACTCATCTACAAGATGACACTTTGATATCTGAGTTGACTAAGAAGAAGAGACAAGAGTAATTGTGACAATACTTAGAGGGATCACAATATGAACCAGGAGGCTTTGATTATCGTATACCCCACACCTCAAAACTTAAAGGTTTATATATTTTGAGGTACACAGCATAAGCAAATATAGCATCAAATTGGTCCACATGAGCAAAATTAACTAGAGAAAGGGGCCCTTACACACCCCCAATGACCATCTCTAGACCTCTCAGATTGGTTGGGGAGCATTGTTACACTGAGAAGGGCTCCAAGAAGTTCACAAAGACCTGAATGGGTTGGGAGTTAAAGGCCTGAGAGATGTACACTTTCACCTGTTATTCCAACTTCTACAAGAGCCTCCTTTTCACTCCTCTCCCCTAGGATGTGCCCTTAGTGCTACCGTCCTTGCTCTTCTATCTGACTTATCTCTTCTTTCAGTAATTTACTCAAACGAAGGCCTTTCGCCATCTCTCTGCTCGAGTCTCTCCTCCCTCTTTCCTGATGCTTTTTTTTTTTCTCTATAGCACTTATGCATGCTATGCTTAGGGTCTATTTCTTCTACAATCTAAGCTATATAATGATTTTGTCTATCCTATCTGCTGAAACCCAGAGGAACAAATAAAGCTTCAGCTATACTTTTTTACCTTTAAAGTCTCCCAAAGGCCTGTTCATCAAAGGTTTAGTCTCAATCCTGTGGCACTATTGGAAGGGAACCTTCAGGAGCAGAGGTATAGCTGAAGGAGGTTAGGTAAATGTTGTGACACATCTGAAGGAGATATCAGTGTCCCAGCCTCTTCCTTTTTATTTTGGGTCATGTCACTATGAGGTGACCAGAGTCCTCCAGCACACACTCCTGTTAGGATGTGTTGTGTTGCCACAGGGACAGCAACAGAGCCCAAATCTCTGAAACCCTGGGCCAAAATAAACCCCTTTAAACTGTTTACCTCAGGTGTTTGGTCACAGTGATGGAACACTGATTAACACAGCAGCCAAAATATTTGTTGACAGAGTAAATTAATCCCTCCATTTTGCAGTCAGGACATACATTGTAGCATGAAATCCACACGACAGTTACAGGATTGGATTTGCATTTATTTGTGGCACTAAGAGAAACAACAGACAGCTGTGACTAAGAGCAATTGGCTGGTAACTGTTGCCTCACTGAGAAAGTTTAGCAATGTTAATCACATAGTACCAAGTTCTCATTCTACCCGATGCCTAGATTTGAAACAGGGTGAAACAGTAAAATTATTTCATGTATTTTTTTCACTAAGGCAGAGATTTTATATCATGAACTCATTTTGACTTCTATTGCTGTTTTGATTTTCTCCATATAAGAAAAGGGTTTTTAGAGACACATTAAAAAATACACACACAAAAAACATCCTGCTGAGCTTAAATTCTTTAAAGATTGTGTCTACCCACAATGTACTATAAGAATGTTATATAATACCAGGGCAGCTGCTGGACCATGACAAAGTGTGTCAGGATAAAATGTAAGCCACAGAATATGCAGCACAATTTGGACTGCCCTCTGTGACATGCATGTGCCCAACACCCTTCTCTCTAGCCCCCTGCAGGATTTCAGAAGGCTACTGGTGAAGTCTCAGGCTCCATGCAAGGCTCCTTCAACAGGGGCCCGATGTACTTCATAGCCTGCTGGGGCACTGGCGGAAAACTATACAAGCAGGACACAAGATATACAAAAAAGGACAGCCCTTCCAGTGTTCTAATCTTTGCTTCCCATCACCTTGTAAGGATCCAGGAATCTCCTGCCCACATGGTCAAGTAGGGATGCTGCTCTGGGCCTCACTGGTTGGAATTTTAAAAGCTTTGTTGGTCAGATCGCGTTCCAAGATTATCTGTGAGGCCCGAGGCTTCCCTGTGTGAGGAATACAGATCTGATGCTTTACTGTCCTGTGAAAGTCATCTCATAGTGGCCTTTTTCCATCGCTCTTCTTTCTCCGGAAACAGCATCCCGTAGCTCGTGATAGATTCTGACAATTTCTGTGGACTTATACTTTTGCCCACCTAAAATTCAAAAGATCTTAAACAAATGATTTTAGCATGTATATGTGGTCAAAATCTCAAAAATCATTGTAAGGTGTGCTTCCTTGTGCCCAAGCTATAATCAAATGTGGGTGCTGGGCTGCAGCCTGTGTATTTCCATTCCCCTGCCAACAAGAGCAGTTTATTGGCAACTGTGAGCGTTCAGAGGCAGATCACATATCCTTGGCACACAGCAAAGCAGTATTTCCCCTTTGACCATTATGTAGGAACACTGAAAATCCACTGTGGGCAAGTTGGCCTGGACACAGGAAAGTACCACCACTTCTTGATGGCTTCGTTTCCTGTCACATGGATTCCTTTACTGATGATCCCTGGAGCTGTACAGGTGGTCTTTGCGGTGGCAGGGACCTCACACGAGCAGGGGAACCTGCAATGAAGATGGGTAGAGTTACTGTCTCTGTAGGAAGCGAAGTGTACGAAGAGACTCATGCTCGTCCTTGTAAAGGGCTGTTGGAGAACTGAGATCTAGACCAACAGCCATGTGCTTACTGTCCCAATGAGCCTTTCCAAAATACAAATAAGCTTAAAATCTTCTAGTGACTTGTGACAGAATGTGAGGGAAAAAAAGCATCAGGGAATCCATGGATATTTGTAGGACTCTCCCACAAAGCCATACTCATTGCTCCCTTGTATTCCTCCATCAGTCGTTGTGAAGAGGATAACTGGAAGTGAGAACCCCAGGAGGCTCACTCACTGCCACACAGATAAAGTACATAAGCAGAGTTTGTGGTATGAATGAAGGAGCAAGTAAGTTCTTCCTTTGTTTGGCAGGGGAGGTCATACAGATCCTGCTGGTTCAGTTCTCTCCCGATAGCCCGACAACAGGAACTATCTCTAAGTGCCTCTGAAAATAATTTATGGAAATGGATTTTCTGTGAAATAATCACTGTCTCTCTCCTGGAGTATCAAACTGATAATCAGGATAAAATGTAGGAACACAGACTGAACAGGAATGACTAAGAATTTGGCATCGTGCTCTACCTCTTTAATTCACTGACAAAAGCAAATACTCAAAAGACAAATTCTTTCAGAACTGACACAGGCACTACTGGGCTGGCAGTACCCAGCTTATGTTCAGTGTATCTGCCATGTGCTGGAGACCATGTGTGCTATGCAAGCCTTAGCTCATTGGAATGTCAGTTCAAGGTAGCAGTGATGTACTGTCTCCGCTGTTAGGAGTTTGCCTCTTACATAAAGACAAGGTGAATTTTGCTTCAAGGGCCCACACATAATTTCATCTTAGCTTGCTGAGTAGAGGGCACAAGTCTTTTGCCCACCTGCATATATGGTTCCAACTTCTTTTCTCTTTGTGAGTACCAGTAATCTCCTTCAGCCCGTCAGCAGCCCTCTACCTTAGGTATCTCAAAATTTAGGGGATCCCTTCTGCAGGCTGCCTTGTTGATAAAACTTTGGACCAAAGTATAAAGGACGAAGGTATTTAGACCCTGTAAATTCCTACTAATTCTGAAGCATCTTCCTTTGGTTATGCAGTAGCTAGTTCTATGTATACACTCTTAGTTGTCCTTCACAAGGACTTGGGGGTCTCTAGTTCATCCGATGTATCTACAACCCTCAAGCCCTGGCTCTAGTCCCTGTCCTCCACTCTTAAAATACATGCATAGGGGCAAGGGTTCTGCTCCTTCAATGGATCTTCCCAAAAGTCCTACTATAACTCAAGAATAATGGGTAAACTAACTCTGGAAGAACATATTTCCTCATATTTGTAAGCTGAATATCTCAGTTCCAGGTGATGGCATGAACAGGTGGAGGCTTTGGCATGTAACTGTGTCCCTTAGGAGTGTAGATTCTCCCAAGAGCTTAGTGTCTAGTCTAAGTCTAGAACAATTCTGCATTTTCCATGTAGTACTTTCAGTCCATTGGCACTGGACATCCTCTTCAATGGACCTGCCACCCCTAGTCCTGACCTCCCAGGTGGGGAGAAGCCTTGGTGTCTGACTCATTAAACCATTTGCCGGTTGCCTCTTCTCAAAGCAGCAGACACGGACTTGTTGGGGGATACTGCCAGCACTGTCAGCCTCACTGCTTCCATGACACATATGCCATGTGTGCATGAAGGGGATGGTGCGGCGTTCTGCTTCCACCTGTGACACTGCAATGGGGAAATGTGTGAAGGATGACCCTGTGGGGATACTGGCACAACAGATGAAGGAGATGTCCAAACTTTGGGGTCATGTAAGTACTTTCTATATAGTGACATTCAGTCAGAGGTCCATAATACAGACAAAAGGTCATTCAGCTAGGAGAACTTAGTTCATTTGAGTCAAATGCCTACAAGTAGCTAGCTCAGTGAAGACTACTCAGGCCATAGGTCCTCTGGCCACTCACAGACATGGCCCAGTTCCTTTTGTTTTCATGTGGGTAGAGTAACATCTTCCCCAGCTTTTTCAGTACCCTCTGATCTCAGGTACCTCCACATTCTGGGGTTGGCCTCTCTGGGCAGCCTTATTGGTAATGCTTGGGAACAAGGAGATATAAGTGGCCTATATAGCAAATACTCACAGCTGCCAATTATGAAGCTGTACAGTGTCCACACTGTGGCCCCTCACAGGTGCTTCTCCAGTCTGTCTGACATCTATAGTTCTCCAAACCCCTGCTCTAGTTCCATCCCTCCATCCCTAGCAGAAGGAAAAACATATGCAAGATACCTACAGTAGTCTGCTTATGCAGGGTAAACATCCTAGGGTCCAGGAGGAGATACAGCCAGGTCCATTAGTGTTATATGCATATATGAGCTACAGAGGAAGCTAAGAGAGGGAATGAATCAGAAAGAAGCTGAAGAGGCAGGTCCAGGGCCATGGCGAAGGCTGGGAGAAGGGTGGTACCTCATTAAAGACTCTGTCATGGCCAGCAGTACAGCCCAGCAGGGCAGGCAGAGAGCTGTAGGCTTATAGAGTAGCACAGCCCAGACATTCTATTAATGCTTTCTCCCAAACTCCAGGCCCTGCTCTCCATGCTCATCTAATCAGGTTTCAGTTGTCAATCCAAACCAGCAGAATAGATTCATTGAGGAGTCAAGAACACCAAGAAGCTGGGAAAACTGGGTCTGGAGGTTTAAGAAACACATGGGGACACTTCTTTGAAAAGTACCCAGTGAACTCTTAAAAAAGTATTTTTTTTTTTCTGATTTCCAGGGGAGAAGACTCTAACATCTTTGCAGTGACCACTGGGGTGTGGAGAGGTCCTATGAAGAAGATAGGCAGGAGAAGATGGTCAGGAATGAGGGCAGGAGGCCATGCCAGTGGGGACAACCTATAGGTGGCTGCCTGGGTTGGGGTACATGGGAGGAAGGTGGTTGTTTTTTTAAATAAATGTTTACTGTATTAACAATGGAAATATGACTGACACAGTATCTCTGCTTCAGAGAGATAGATGATAAAAATAGAGAGATAGAGATATAGATGGACAGACAGATGGATGAACGGATGGATGTGTGGGTGAGTAGATTGATAGATTGATAGTGTGTGCATGCCTTTGAGACAGTCTCTGTGCAGTCTTGAATAATCTGGAACTCATTACCTACAACAGGCTGTACACTGAATTATGGACAGTCCAATGGCCTCTGGTGCCCCAGTGCTGTGATTATGTTATGTTTTAATAATGCATTTACCACTGGCAGTATGGCCACAGATCACAACATCACTCTCAAGATTTCCTTTAATACCCTTCAGCCCTCAAATGCCACCAATCATCTAATAGTAAAGAGTTTATATTTTCTAGATTTTATAGAAATCCAAAGAATATGACATGGGCTAAATTTTATGTCTGGGTTTCTTTAAGCATAATTGCCTTGAACTCATCTATGTTTTTGTAGGTATCAGTATTTCTGTGATTGCTGCGAACACTGTATGAACACATCATATTTGTTTATTCATTCTTTTGATGATGGGCAGTTGTTCTCAGTTTCAAGGCACTTGATAACTGCTTTACGGATGTATGCAAATGCAAACACACCCACATCTTCTTGCTGTTCTCCTTTTTTTCTCCATGAGTGTTAAAAAGAAAAAGCAGAGAAAACAGGCATTTTCTTGCTTTTTGGTATCAGGAAAGTATTCATTCTTCTCCTAACAGGCCTGGGTTAGCTGCCAGTTTTCATCAATGGCCTTTATCAGTTTAAGGAATTTCCTTTTTTCACAAGAAATGACATATGATGTCATCAAATGCTTCAAAGAAATCTATTAATATGATTTTTAAAAATAGTTCATATGGGGATAGATTTTAAATGTTAACCCAACCTTGCATTCCTAGAACTCCTTTCTCTTGGCCAGAAAACACCATCATTCTTACATTGTTTTTTCTTGTCATATTTTTTCTGGTTTTGGAATCAGTAGCTGGATTTATAGGGTAAGTTAGGACCTGCTCTCCTCTTCAACTTTTGGGATGAATTTCTTTAGATGTCTTTATTACATTTGTAGAACTCATCAGTGAAACTATCCGGGCCTGGAAGTGTTTTATATGGTGTGGTGGTGGTGGTGGTGTGTGTGTGTGTGTGTGAAGGCTTTTTACTTATTATTCAGGTTCTTTACCAGATGTAGAGTTGTTCAGCTTCCATATATCTTCTGGAGTTATGCATTTGTTTGTATTTTCACAGTTTGAAGTAACACACCCATGCATGAAGTTGTGTGTGATATTCCTTTCATATAAGTCTCTTATTGTATCTGTAGAATTTGTGTGATATTATGTCTCCTTCCTAAAGTTGACCAAAATACCCTTTTTCTTTTGATATATCCTGTGCCAGACTTACTGATTTATTGGTTTTGCTCCAGAACCAGCTGTGGGTTTAACTTTTAAAATCAGTTTTATCTTTCATTTTATTGATTTCTGCTATGACCTTTATTTTTTCCTGCTAACTTTAGACTTCAGTTTTTTTTCTCTTATTTTTCTAGTTTTCCAGGGAAGAACATTATTCAACTGTAGAATGACAAACACCAAGGAATTCTCTAGAAATCACTACTTTATTGGCACCTCCAACTTTCATGGTCTAATTCACAGCTACCTCACACTACTTTCTAATTCTCCTTTGATTTTTTTTCTTTTAATTTAAATCTATGTTATTTCAATGTTTGGGGATTTTCTTGAGGCCATTTTTATTAATATTCAATGTAATCATATTATAGTCATGAACATACTTATTATTTGTAGTCTTTAGATGTAGCCACGTTAACTATTTTCTAATATCTGGGTTCATTATGGGGCAGGTCTGAGTCATGCTCAGTTGCTAGTATTTCAGGCTGGCCTTCCATTTTGTTGCCTGATCATTTTTGATTGGATGTCAGACACTTCCAATTTTGCCTTGAAACTTGCTAAACAGTTTCACAGTCATGTGTATATTCATAAGCTTTGTTCTGA